AGACCTTCTTTTCTTTACCTGGAACCACAAACCCTTCAGGTTGTTCCATGTAAATTTCTTCCTCCAACTCTCCATTTAAGAAGGCCGTCTTAACATCCATTTGATGAATTTCAAGACCATAAACTGCAGCTAACGCTACTAACGTTCGTATGGATGTAATTCTTGTAACTGGAGAGTATGTATCAAAATAGTCAAGACCTTCTCGTTGTCTATACCCTTTGACCACAAGTCTTGCCTTATACTTGTCAATAGTACCATCATCTTTTATTTTCCTCTTAAAGATCCATTTAGATCCCAACGGTTTGTTTCCAGGAGGAAGATCAACCAATTCCCATGTATGGTTGTTTAGTATGGATTCTATTTCACTATTGACCGCCTCTTTCCATAACAATGATTCCGAAGAAGACATAGCTTCTTTAAATGTTTGAGGCTCATTTTCCAATAAGAAAGTCACAAAATCTGGTCCAAATGAAGTAGACGTTCTTTGACGTTTACTACGTCTTGGATCCTCTTGGTTAAGTGTACTTTCTTTTGTTTCTTCCCGAGGTCGTTTAGATCCTTCACCAATCGACTCACATTCCTTTTTATACGGATATATATTTTCAAAGAACTCAGCATTATCTGATTCTATAACCGTATTATTATGAATGTCGAGATTTTCTGATTTATGAACCAGAAATCGATATGCTTTACTATTAGTCGCATATCCTATGAAAACACAATCAACGGTTTTCGGTCCTATTTTTACCCTTTTGGGTTTAGGAACTTGCACTTTTGCCAAACACCCCCACACTTTAAAATAATTCAAGTTGGGCTTCCTTCCTTTCCATTTTTCATATGGAATGGATTGTGTTTTGCTATGGGGTACTCGATTTAGTATTCGGCTAGCCGTAAGAATGGCTTCCCCCCACAAGTTCTGTGGCAAACCAGAACTTATCAATAATGCGTTCATCATCTCCTTTAATGAACGATTCTTTCTTTCTGCAATCCCATTGGATTGGGGCGTGTAAGGGGCCGTTGTTTGATGAATATTCCATATTCTAAACATATTTGTTCAAAAGGAGATTCATATTCACCACCCCTATCACTTCTTATCATTTTGATTTTCTTATTAAGTTGCGTTTCAACTTCATTTTTGTATTGCTTGAATGCGTCTATTGCTTCATCTTTACTATTAAGTAAGTAAACATAGCAATATCGAGTACTATCGTCAATAAAAGTTATGAAATACTTTTTTCCACCGCGAGATGGTATTGACTTCATGTCACAAATATCTGTGTGAATTAAGTCTAAAGGATTTGAATTCCTTTCAACCGACTTATAAGGATGTTTAACATACTTAGATTCCACACATACTTGACATTTTGATTTGTCACATTCAAACTTGGGCAATACTTCCAAATTAATCATTTTCCGTAAGGTTTTATAATTGACATGACCCAAACGTATATGCCATAATTCATTTGACTCAAGTAAGTAAGACGAAGCTGAAATTTTATTATTATTTTCAACAACCATTACATTCAGCTTGAAAAGGCCCTCAGTGAGGTAACCTTTTCCTACAAACATTTCATTCTTACTTATTACAACCTTATCGGAAACAAAAACACATTTAAAACCATTCTTAACAAGAAGTCCAGTAGAGACTAAATTCTTCCTAATCTCGGGAACATGAAGGACGTTGTTCAAAGTCACCACTTTGCCGGAAGTCATTTTGAGAAATATCTTCCCACATCCTTCAATCTTCGCCTTTGAAGCATTTCCCATAGAAATCGTCTCATCGGGTCCAACAGGAGCATAAGAAGCAAAAGCTTCTCTAACAGCACAAACATGGCGAGTGGCTCCAGAATCAATCCACCACTCTTTAGGATTGCCCACCAAGTTGCATTCGGAAAGCATGACACATAAATCATCAACATCATCACGCTTTTCAACCATGTTTGCTTGACCCTTCTTCTTGTCTTTCTTTGGAGCACGACACTCCGTAGATTTGTGTCCAGTTTTTCCACAGTTGTAGCAGTTTCCACTGAACCGCTTCTTGCTTGGGTTGTATTTCGGTCCAGAAGCCTTCTTCCTCTTTTTATTCTCTTCAACAATATTTGCTCCCATTATTGTTGAGTTTCCACGGCCTCTCTTTTCAGCAGCTTTGTTGTCCTCTTCGATTCTCAACCGAACAATGAGATCTTCAAGGGACATCTCCTTGCGTTTGTGTTTCAAGTAGTTTTTGAAGTCCTTCCACAAAGGAGGCAACTTCTCAATCATCGCTGCTACTTGAAATGCTTCATTGATAACAAGACCTTCAATGAAATTTCTATTAGTAAAAATACCAAGATTACTACTTTCAACATCAATATTAATTTGAGTTATACCTTCAGCAAGGAGATCGTGAATAATCACTTGCAATTCCTGGACTTGGGTAATAACAGACTTGCTATCTACCATTTTGTAGTCCAAAAACTTTGCAGCAACAAACTTTTTCAACCCGGCATCTTCGGTTTTGTATTTCTTTTCAAGCGCAGTCCACAGTTTCTTTGACGTTTCCACGCTACTGTAGACGTTATACAAAGCATCCTCTATCCCGCTTAGAATATAATTCTTGCACAAAAAATCTGAATGCTTCCACGCCTCAATCACGAGAAAGCGTTCAGTTTCTGGAGTTTCGTCGGACAGCACAGGAACATCTTCCTTGATGAACTTCTGGAGACTTAGAGTAGTCAAATAGAAGAACATCTTTTGCTGCCAGCGCTTGAAATCAATCCCGGAAAATTTTCCGGGTTTCTCCGCCGGTGCCAATGCTGCCGGTGTCGTTCGACTTGTTGAGGCATTGGTAGTCACCATTGGAACAGCTTGGTTCTCATTTTCATTAGTCATTTCTATAAAAGAATGACACAAACATTAAAATCACGTAGATTTTAATAGAGTACAAAACCACAAAGGTTTTACTCTTCCAGAAACAGTAAGTACAAATACAGAAATCGGATTAAATTCCTTAAGCTTGTTAGTAGACTGTATTTGTAAAATAATTCTGGAAATATAAATGAGTATAAACAGAAATGAACATAAACAGAAATGACATAAAACCAATTCGAGCCCACTGAATTCACAGTGTTTCCTTAAGGAATTTAATCCCCTCCTAGTACCCAAGGTTATGGATTATTTCCTCCCAGGATAGAACGAATTACACACTGGTGTAGTGGTACTTCAAACCCCAGTGTTTCAGCGAACACAAAGTTCGGTAGCAAATCACACTTACTTTTTGCTTTGTTTGATGCTAAAAGTATGCAGAAGAAGGAGAAGAAACTCAGAAAATCGTAGTGAAATTCTGAGCAGAATAGTGTTGTATTTATAGCCAAAGTTAGGCTGAAATCTGAAGAGGGTGCAACTCTTCAGAATGGCTGTTTATGCAAAACGCCCACAGCATAAATGCCATTACATAAATGGCCATTTACTCAATAATAAAGAGGGAAAATAAAGAGGAAAAATTGAAGAGGGTAGTTACTTTTCTGTTACCAAAACAGAAAAACGGATTGGATTTAATATTAATATTTTGTTATTAAAACAAATATTTAATAACATTTCTGTTAATATTTTACTATTAACAAATAAATTTGGTCCAAAAAGTTAATCAATCAATCGATCATTTGACCGAAGCCGAAGCCGAGCGAGCGACGACGACGGCGCGAGGCTTGCCTTCTTCTCAACTCTTTAAGAGCTAGAAGAAGAGCAATTGCTTATATACCCATAAAAAACCTCTTCCTCTTCCAATATGGGACAATGCCCATTTGCAAAGCGGGAACTTAAAATTTCACTCAAAAATTTTATTTCCCTCCATTTCCCATTCACCCTCTTTTAAGTATTTAATATATTAATTAAACACATCCAAAACCCAACATTGAGTCCTATCAAATTTAACCGAACATCTCATATGAAATGTCAAACAACAGTAGGCCAATTAATCTTTGTACCAAAACCCATCACTTAAAAATATCTGTAATTTAATAGGATACACAAAATATGGATCATGTTGGAGGACACCTAACACTGTTTATGTTTCTTTCTCCAGAAACAAGTTATGGGGAAAATTTGGCTACCGAATAGGTGTGTGTGTGTTACCATATTTTACCAGAACCAAGTTACTCTCCCTGGAATTCTGAGTTTGAAATATGAGCCATCTATTTCACAAATGCCATTCAAGGAACAAGTTGAAAACCCAATTATGCGGAAGCAGACAAACAACATCATTCATGAGACAACCGTTTCAACCTCTCTGAGCCTCCATATCTTAATTTATACTGTAGTAACAATAGTACATGAGATCTCAGCGGATGTGATTAAGGAAGACACAGATAAGGTTCATCGTTCAGGAAAGTACCCCTTTTTTACACAGCCCAATCTATCCTTTCACAGTAAGGATCAGACACTTTTTTTTTTAATTGTTAAAAGCAAGGAGTCAGAGATTGCAGCATTCCAATTCTCTGAAAACAAGTTTAGTGAAAGATCGAGCATCAACAACTTATACATTCATACAAATCTTGTGTTTATATATCACGATCATCAGTTAAAACTTTCACAAATGACATGCAGGGAACTAGTAGAAAACCAACTTAGATTTGAAGGGAAAAAAGAGCAACATTATTCATGGGACAACCGTTTCAACTTCTCAGAGTCTCTCCATATCTCCAATTTATACTAGATAATCTTAAGAAGATATAGCTAAATTTTTTCATTTTCTTTTTGGAGAAATAGAAGATATAGCTAAGGCTTACCATTCAAGCAAGTACTCACTTTACAAACTTAAGCCAATCTACTTCTACAAATCAGAGTCATAGATGCAGCATTCTAAATCCCTAAAAGCAGGTTTAGTAGAATTTATACAACATAAGAAGTAATCTGTTTTCTCCAAGCAAACTTGAGAACAATTTTGACCAGCAAAAAGAATAATAATCATGGAAAAGATATTACCACAAATTGCATAAAATGAAGCAAGTTACAGAAAGCTCTGGTAGTTATAAGAATGACACTCAATTATTGTATTCATAAGATCAGTTTATTGTACATGGTATAGTAAGCTCTGTATGGCAGGGAGAGAAGTCTATGAATATGTAGCGGGGCCACTTTAACAATTACAAACAAATAAAAAGAATGTAGTCTTTACCAGCTGTCATAGTCCTTGTAACTCTCAATAACTAACACTTCTCCGTGAATCTGCGATCACTATTATATGCAATCTTCAACAGCTATGGCAATCTCTTGCTATTCTACATGGACTGGTAAAGCTCAAATGATTTTTTAAATGGAAGTATATCTCAGGACTTTCCTTCAACAAAATGACAGTTTTGACTTATCCTCACTTGGATCGATAATGCAAGAGGTCTTTCCACTATATGAAAAAGAAGAAGCCTCAATCACCCTGGCTACTGATACTATAAATATTGCCACACACTCCAACAATGCTAACTATAATGGCCAATATCAACATGAACCAAGACACAATCTTTTCCCTCACACTCAAACCGCTCCCTTCTTTGCTCAGCCTTAGAGCAATGAGAGATGGAAACGTAAAGCCTAAAGAGACTGCAGTTGTGGCCCCTGTAAATTTGAAAGCAGTCCAGATGTTAGGAATCATAGTCGATCCAAAATATAAGAGTGCCAAGAGAACGGCAGTCAAAGCCAGACACCTCTTCCTACTTTCTGTGAGTGGTGCTAATCCTCCAAACAACAAAGTGTCCACTGTCTGCCTCAGCGAGAAATGAATAACAGGGAAAACAAGAATCAGATGGAAAACATAGCCAACGCGCACAATGTAATTCAATGCTGTGCTGAAACGAATTCCAAGGTCCTTGTCGAAATTGGTGAGTATATCAGATTCAGTATCTTTTCCAAAAAGTAAATAGCCAGCTATAGCCGTAGAAGCATACACCAACACGCAAATAACTGCAGTAATTCGGCTCACACGGTTCATCTTCCGAGGCGAGCGGCCTTCAAGCTCATTATAAATTGGCTGAACGTTAAAGTGACAAACATATGCATTTGACATTATAGGGATCACTACAAGCAGGTCAAGGATTGCCTTCTTAGACCCGAAATCTGGGGTCATCCTAGGAGCATCAATTTTCCCCTCGACAAGCTTAATAAACGCTATAGTGAAAGCAACCACAACAAAGACAACCGCTAGAGCTACAGAAGCAGCTGAAGATGTACTCAATGAATCGATCTTGTCCATCGCGCAAAGGGGTGCAAGAAAAACCACCAATATGATCAGAATCACTAACTTCCTATGATCCCACACTCCATGACCTAACCATTGATCGAAAACCCCAATATGCCGAATTGAACCGGACAAAACATCCCCAATTATAATCAAGTAAACAACTAAAACACCAGCATTATTCACAATGATGCAAATCTCAGACAAGATCTTAGCTGTTTTACCCAATGCAGCCTGAACAACCTCTCCATAAGAAGAAGCCTTACATTGAACCGAGAACCGGACTAGCAATTCAACACTAATCTCAGACAAAATACCCATCAAGAATATCAAAACTACCCCAAGAACTAAACCCAAAACTTTCATAGTAGCAGGCAAAGCCATAATCCCAGCACCAATAATAGTAGTTGTGAGATTAAATACTGCCCCATATACACCAGACCCAGATTTATTTTCACCAAAAATAAGTGGTAAATTATCAAAATCAATATCATCAGCTTCAAGATCATCCGGGGAGTTTGGTTTTAAATATCCATTTTCGGTAAAGTTGTCATCTTTCACTTGTAATTCAACAAAAGAATCCTTGGTAATAGCCGAATAATTACTATCCATTACTATAAATGCTAGTATTTACTATTCAAAAATTAAATGCATCTACACGACATGTATATATGTATATGTAGGTAGCAAAGGCAAGAAGAACTTACGTTAGAATCAGTGAAAATGAGAAAGTGGGATTTGGATTTAATAACTGAGAGATTCAAATTGTGTTTGCAAATGAGATCTGAGGAAGAAGAAAACCCTAGATCGTCCAAGTCAAAGTTATAGAGGTTTACTTTGTAACTCGAAAATGGTCAATGGAAAAGTTCAGATTTAAGAACTTCAGATGGAAGAAAGAAAGAAAGAAGAGTTTTCCTATTGTTTTCTTTTTTCTTTTTGGGTAAAAGTTTTCTATTGGTTGCTTCAACATGAAATTTTGCACTATATTGAATTATTTGAAACTAGGAGAAGAGATCCTGTGTTGTGGCGGGCAGGAAGTCTCTCTGTAGCCTCACTAAAATTAAGGTGAGAATTTATATTAATTGATTATGAGTACGGACAACAATTTATGAAAACAAGTAGTATAATATATTTTCTGAGTTGGTGTAGACGTTGAATGCGGGTGAAGCATGTTTCTTTTTACATAAAACTTTTTCTTTTTTCCTGAATAAATTAAGAATGGGATGGGGAGGATATAACTCAAACATAAGTTATTCACTAATCACTTTGCTTAAGAAACAAAAGAAAACATAGGATGGTAAATTACAAACATTACAGAAATATTTTGATCTAATATTTATATAAGTTTATAAATATGACATCAATCAAATGAAATTAAGGCACTAAAAACACGCGAGCAGCTTAACGTGATCGGACAAACTTAATTTAGCTCCATAAGTTATCAATCTCCATATGATTATCGTATCTTGCAAAATAATAAATCCGTAAATACAAATACAATTCCGAAATGCTAACTTAACACTTGTAAAGACAGAATTCAAATTGATTAAATATATTGGTTAATTGCACTTTTTTTACAAAGTACCAAACTAACACCATATAACAAAGTCATGATTTTGAGAAGGGAAATTGGTGAAATTTTAAAAAATGATGTAAGACGTCAAACTTTTTTATACAGCCTAGAGAGACGATAGTAATTGAATTTAATTGAAGTTCTATTTAGATGATCACGGAGAGAGATTATTCAGAATAATCTTTCCACCCTCCCGTCAGCGAAAGTAAAAAATTCACTACAAACAAATAAATTGAAAATTATGGTGGATAGACCTTTTCTTAAACTAAAGTATTATTTGTATTTTGACCTCATTAAGAAAAATTTTAAGGTAATAGTTTAGCGTCAGAATATAAAACACACTTGACAAAATTTTGAGGCGCCCGCCAAAATGTTGAAGAACCAGAAATTTTGATGATCACCAAAACTTTTAGCTCCATGATTTTGAAGCACCAAAACTTATGGTGACTGAAAAATTTCTGATGATCTGTCATGATTTATGGCAAATTCTGCTAATTACTATATCTGTTGCACAGGGGTATTCATGGTTCGGTTTGGATCGGTTTTTTTCTTAAAAGGAACCAAACCAAGTAAGTTGGTTTTTCAAATATTAGAACCAAACCAAACCAATTAAGTTGGTTTTTTCTCGATTCGGTTTTTGTCGGGTTTTGTCGGTTTTTCGGTTTTTTCGGTTATTTGTCGATTTTTTCTTAAATATAAAACATACACTACCAAACACATATTCCGGCGACCACATTTTCAACGTAACACTATCAAATCAATTGCCCTTTGAGAAATCTATTATTTACCCAAAAATATTGATGATAATTGAACCAAATAGTGATGAATAACTCAATTAAAAATATATTATTTTTAACACGAAATGGATTCTCACACTTAATAAAAGAAAACTACCAATCAAACTAGAATGTAAAGGTAAAGAACTATACTAAAAGTGCAAACTATTAACATTTACCATTAAATTTTTGAAACTTAGTATAAAGATATACATATATATAGGTGTAATAATAAATTTGAAATAGCAACTCCTATAGTCGGTTTTTTTTGATTTTTTTATGATTAATACCAAAACCAAACCAAATTTAATCGGTTTTTAAAATTCAAAACCAAAACCAAACCAAACCAAAAAGTATCAGTTTTTTTGGTCGGTTTGGTTTGGTTTTCAGTTTGGTTCGATTTTTCGGGTTTTTATGAACACCCCTACTGTTGCGTGCTTAAAATTCTGGAAATGGAGAAAAAACTTTACCGAGCGAACTTTAAAATTTTAGTGCAGCTTCTTTTTTCAAACTTTTGTTATCGAAGTCAAAATATTAATAGTGGCACCGAAATATCCTATTTATGTCATTCTTCCCCAAGTAAATGGGGCAAGTGCACAAATAGCCATTCTCAAAGATGCTATTTAGGGATTAGCCAGTATTTATTTTTTGCCTGAAATTTTAAATTAAAAATCTTTTCAGGATAACTCAGAATATTTTTGTCCTGAAAAATTAAACTGGAAAGCTTAAATAAAAATGCACTTACTAATTTTTAAATAACAACCCTTTAAAGTGGCTATCTGAATCATTTGTACAAGTAAATGTGGCCCATTCAACTCTAGTTGTGTAATATGGGCCTTCATGTCTTAAACCTGAACACATACCACTTATAGTGGAAAAGATTTGAAACTAATTCTACTTTTTTGTCTATATGAAATGTTATTTTGCCTCAGAAATTGATCTACAGTTTCTCATTTTTATTTTTTTTTGTAAATTGATCAAGTTTTATTATATAAATTACAAATTAAGAAAGTATTGGTTTTCACATTACAATAATAGGGTATTTATAAAGTTTTATGTTCTCAGTTTTGGAGAAAGGAAAAAAAGGATTTTTTCTTCCTATACAATATTTGAAACTTATTTATCAGTATTGACCTAGTTTTGTATATTACCTGCCCTAAACAAGGATTACTTATAAATTATATACAATCCATTATGCCTTAAGTTAGGGGATTTAGTCACCTTTTTTCTTTTTTCTCTACTCTTCTCTTTCCCTACCGCCTCTCTTCATATATAATCCATTATTAGTGCTTTAAATTAAAGAATTAAGTTACACCATTTTTCTTTATTTTTTTCCTCCTCTCCTCTTTCCCATCGTGCCTTAACTGTAGTATTTATGTATTATGGAAAAGGAGGAAAGTATTATTTAAGAATCACTTCTTCTATATATGGATGATAATGAATGGAACGAATCACAAATAAGGTTTGGCTTTTCTGAAACAGAGGAAAAGTCGAAACAAATTGTTTTAAATGCTCAAAAATATTCTTGTATCCTAAACTATTCCCACGGATTAATGCAAGGGGGCGATCGTAACTCATGGTCGTAATGATTTTCACCCATAGTAATTATTTTTATTATCGTCTATGTATTTGTATTTGGAGGGTATATATGCCTTTGAAAACTATACAAGGAATTTCTAATGCCGGAATATTTAATCTTGATACAAATTTGATACATATATAACAATATATAAACTAAAAACAAATTTGATACGACTAGTTATATAGTATACAACTTTTTTATAGCTTATCTACAACTTTCATACATTATTTTTATACGGTTAAATACAACTACAATATTATACAACTTAAATATAATTTTCATACAAATTTTATATAATGTCTTTTGTATGTATTTTGTATATGATTTGTATATATTTTGTATGTGGTATGTTCCTTTTCCTCTCGAAAATTTCAATAAAAAATTCCTTTCTTAATACAATTTTGATATATATCAATAATTTTATGTAAAAGATAGTATTTATAACTTAAATGCAAATTCCATACAATGATTCATACATTATACAATTATTTTTCAACGTTCATACAATATTCAAATAAAAAATATTTAACTACAACAGAATACAATTCAACCAAGATGAAATTCAACCAAAATCAAGTATAATCTTCACTAAACACCCTCAAAATTGATATATAAACTTCAAGAATATTTCTAATTGTTTGCAACAACGCCCTACCCAAACAAACAATAGTTTTTGAAAATCCAAATTCGAATTTAAGGCTTCGGGGCTTTTTAATGGCTGTCAATGGTGAAGAATCAAATACCTTCAAAATTTATTGATTGACAATTTCAATTTGAACACCAATTGTGCAAAATAAAAAGGAAATTGCTACGTTAAAGCTCTATATTGTAACAACTGAAATTTATTGATGAATTTTGGGGAAAAAAGGACGAAAAGCGGAGAAAAATGAAGGAAGAAAATTGGGGAAAGAACAGAGAAGGAGAGAAAGAGAGAGAGACAAAGGAGAGCGCGTAGGGATGGGGATTCCCTATTCAATTCCTAATATAAAGGGATTCTTATTTAAAACTATGTTGTATATAATTAGTAAATTGTATATACTTATGCAATTAAGTTATAATTTGATTAGGAAGGGTAATAAAATTTCATATATAGTATAGGAAGGTAAAAATTTAAAAAAATAAAAATAAATAGGGGAATTTTTATGTGGATAGCGGAGGTATGTTTTGCTCAAATACAAGGTGAATAGCCCATTTCTTAAAGAAATCTTGTAATCATTTGAAAGTCCAATTGAGGAATTTGTCGCCGGCCAAAAGTTTTAAGGATTTCACTGTTTCCACCATAGACAAATCAAACCTACGCAGTATGCTACTGCTAATCACTCAAAAGAGTGAAAAATAGAAATTCCAATTTGGTGTATAATATGATGACATGGTCGGTCATTTGGACCTTTATGGGCATTGCTACCACTAAAACCAAAACTAAAAAGATAAAGGAGAAGAATTGAATATCTCCCCGACGAAAAGCTGGACTTTATGAAAAATCCCTTTATATCGTGATATGATATATATCTCTCGTGTTGGGAAATGGAGATTTAATCAGACTGTTTCGAATGACATGACCGTCAACCACTACTCTTATAGTTTAATACCCTTTGTTTTGCCATAAATATCGGAACTGCCACTTAAGGTAGTCATGTCGGAAAATCCATTTGTTTATGACTAGATTCATCCAATTTCAATTGGACAATTGAAAAGGACTAGGAAGGAATAGATCCACGTTCAACGTAGTCTGCATTCCACGAAAGGATTAAAGGCCCCATTTGCTTTGCCGGCAAACCCAATATAGCCAATCTTTCTAACCATTTTAGAAAGTCTTTCGTATTTATTTACACATTTATTACTCCTTGTTTGGTTAAACTTCTAAAATCAACTTATTTTGAAATTTGGCTAATTAATTTTAAAAAACTTTTATTATACTATATTATAAGCATAAAAACATTAGTGTGATATTATTTTACCGAAATATTCTTCAGAAACTGAATGACCAAATTACCCTCTAAATTTACTCTCTAGAGGACCGTTTTAC